GCATGGCTGCGGCGTGTCCAGGGGCCGCCATATTAATTGACTGTTCTTATTGTCACTGCAGCCACCACGCAGCTGGCTTGCAGCTGATGCTTACGCTCCCCTTACAACACCTCAGTGTATGGTTGGTATAAGGGTTTGTATCATGGGTAAGATCACTCAGCACCGCACACCAGCCCAGCTTAGCCAGGCAGCTTAGGAGCAGCGAGGCGTCCCTTCTCCCATCCCCAGTGACCCCCTCAGACTCCCCGCACCCAGAACCTTTTCCTTGTTTGGGTGCCCTTTGTCCCTCCTGACCCCTGATCCATGTTTTCCGATAATCTTGCTGATACCAGGAGGGGAAGGATGAACCCTGATGGGAAAGGCAGCTGGCCTCTCCAGTTGGGCTCCATCCAACCACCGACTTACCTGCCATCATGATGTCAGTGGCAAGGTGGTGGGAATACTGAAGAGGGGCTGCATTAGGGCCAGGGCTCCATGTGGAACCCTTCAACCTTTTGCTCCCTGCCCCTGTGCCTTCCGCAGGGCTGTCACTGTGGTGGCCCTGGAGAATTATTTTGGTTGCTAGATTTGGGGTGCTTTGCCCCATTCCTGTCTGCCTTTATCATGGTTGAGGCCTCTTGAGGGGCTGTGGTGCCCAGGCGCTCTCTAGAGTGCATGGAATTAGGGATTGGGGTGTGGGAGGGATCAAGCGACAGGCTGCAAACAGCTGAAGGTTGTGTAGATTTTACTTCAGACCCTTGCACTGTCTAGAGACCTAAGAGGGGGAGAGAGAGAGAGAGAAGCCTAGAAGTACACACGTCACATGTTTTCTTTGCTGTTACTCTGGGGTTGGGCCTCTTCTGGGGTTTGGGACACTGAACCAGAGCAGGGTTCCTTTGCTTGACTGTACCCAGTCCTTAAAATTCCTTTCCTGACTACCCTCCTCTGGGTTCAGGGGTCAAGTGGCCCCTCCTCAGATCATGGGCAGCACTCCATCTCCTGGACCCCCGAGGCTGTCCCCTTGTGTGCCAGCCTTTGGGCTGAAGCAGGTGGTGGGAGGGAATGTGGAGTTTGAGGTGGAAAAGTCGTTCCATGTGCTGAGAGGGTGGTGGGGTGTGTGCCTAGACTAGCATGGACTTTATGGGGAAAAAGTGAGGGCGGACAGCTTTGCTAAGGCCTCCCAGCCTTCTTTGTAAACTTAAATTAAGATAGGCCCAGAGCTTTCCAGCTCCCAGACTTGATGTAAATTCTTGTCTCCCCCTTTCAAGACCTCCCTGAGGTTTCTTTGGGGTCCACCACTTCCCTCTGCCTGTCTCCAGGTGGTGCAGGAGATGTGGTTCTGCTCCCTCTCCGTGGTTCCCTAGAACTCCCCATTTCCTTGCCCTGTAGCTTTAGCTGACCCCATGGTGGTGGGTGGGGTCGGTCCGCTTGCTCAGGTAAGCTTGGGGGCTCCAGGTAAGCGGTCCCGTGTCCCCCCCCCGGGAAGCCCGCCTCCTCGCCAGGCCCCCAGGAGTTGCCGAGCCCCCCCCATCCCGCTCGGTTTGGACACCCGCAAGGCCGGCATCGGTAAATGGCACCTTTTTCTCTTCCTCTGGTTGTTATTTGGGGGGGGAGCGGGCTGGGGCGGGGCAGGGTATTGTGGTTGGTTGAGGACAACCCCCTAGGCCAGGGCTGGGGGTGGGAAACGGACTTTTTTGGCCTTCCCTACAGCCCCTATGTAAGACAGGCCAGGGCGCTGGGCCTGCCCTTTGCTGTGCCCTGCCCAGGAGTGGGATCACGCCTCCCTGCATCTCCCCCTCTACTCCCCATCCTTCCTGAGAGGCCTTTAGGCTGGGGTTGGCCACCCAGTGTGTGTTGCGCTGGGGTGTGGAGGGAGAGATGGGGTGGAGCCTGGGGTTGGGTTGCAGAGTCAGTCGTCTCAGGTAAGGCAGGAATGTTCAGTAGCACCGCACGTCTCCCATGCCTCCCTCCACTTTCCCTCTCCCCCACCTGCTGTATGGGGACCCTTCAGGCCCCCTCAGGGTCCCTGGGAGCACCATAACCTGCCTCTGCTCCCTGCCATCTCCTTAAGATTTCTCCCATCCCTTCTGGTTCATTTTCTGTTCTGATGTCTGTTCCCTCCACACTCACCACGCCCCCACACAAAAACAAAAACAGAAAACGGTGTGAACTGGGGTGCGGAGTGGCTGGCTGGGCCTCCTCCCCCAGCATGATGTGTTAGGGTGCATGCCTGGGGTTGTGGAGGAAGCCTCCACCACAGCAGAGTCCAGCCTTAAGTTAACCTCCGGTTTCTTTGCAGCGACTTTGGCCGCCTTGGTGGGAGGGGGCTGCTCTGTCACTTGGGAGTAGGAAGGGCCTGGGAGCCCAGGGAATGGTAGTTGAGGGTGGTCTTGGCCCCCCAATGATGATTGGGGGGTGATAAGGAAGCAGGTGCTGAGATGGAGCAGGCCCCTCCCTGGTTTGGGAGAGGGTTGGTCTGGCTGTCAGTTACCTGGCTGGCTGGTGTGTGTGTGTGTGTGAGAGTGAGAGTGCCTTGATGGGACGTATGGGGATGGGGATACTGCAAAGCTGGGCCCTGTCCTGACTAGAGGACCCTCTGGGGACTCCTTCCCTTCCTCCTCCCCGCATCTGTTGCAGCCGCTTACAAGCACGCAGACGGCAAGAAGATTGATGGCAGGAGAGTCCTTGTGGATGTGGAGAGGGGCCGAACCGTGAAGGGCTGGAGGCCCCGGCGACTAGGTGAGCACATTCTGCCCATGCTTGGCTTTGGGGGTTGTGTGCTTGGTGGCTTCATTCTTACCTTCTTCTACACCCTCTTCTGCTTTCTGTCTTCTTGGTTCCCCACTGCTGCTCCCGTCTTCCTCCAGCTCATCCTCTTTCATCACTGTCACATTGCTGGTTTCTCTCTTCTCATTCTGGGTTACCGAGTAGGAATAGGAGCACTGGCCTCTCCAGGCCAGTCTGGGACCAAATGCCTCAGTTTCCTCATCCTGGAAAATGGAGTACTTTCATAATCTCAGAGTTCACTGAGCTCATCATCAGATGCCCAGCTTGACAAGTGGCATGTGGTGGGCCTTGTAAATGTCATTGTCTCATCCACTTACTCTCTGCTCTTGCTCATTCATTCAGTGATTCAGTACACACCTGTTAGGTCACCGGCTATGTACCTGGCTTCTCTAGTCAAGAGCAAGACATAGATGGACAGCTTCTGTCCTTACAGCTTCCTACATTCAGTTCCCCTCACTGTCTCTAATTGTCATTTACTCTCTCAGTCAAGGTCAATTTATTTGCAAGTATCAGAAGTGCATTTGAGCTTCCTAGAATAAAGGGGCCTTGTCAATACAGAATCTTGAGTGTCTTTTGGAGCCCAGAGACATGTGATGCCAGTGGCCCTCAGGAGGACCTGGTAGCCACACCATAAAGCTGTCAAGAGCTTGCTTCTGCCTTGTCTGCTGTTCATGCAGACTGGTCTTTTAAGTATCTCCCCCTACTGGTCCAGTGTGGTATTCCACAGCTCCCTGCTTTACACCCAGTCCTGAATGGAGGAATCTCTGTGCTTTGGGGTGGGTGGATTTGATTGGCTCAGCCTTGGGCCTGGACCTGGGGCTGAGGGGCTGCCATCCAAACATGCCTGTTAAGTGTGTTGATTCCTGCGAGGATGAGTGACAGCTCTCAGAGGAGATGGCTTTCCCTGGGTAGACACTCCAGGTCGGTCCAGTACCTTCTGCTCTTATTCTTGCCTCCTAGCCCCGCTATTCCTCACTCTTGACTTGCCTGTGCTGGGTAGACCACATACTCATCTGCTGAGTCTCTGGATTTGATAGACAGGCTCTTACTTGCTCTCTGGTTTCTCTGGGTGGAGTGGGTTCTGCAGAGTCTGCTATTTTCTGTTGTGGAATCCTGGAATCCCAGAAACTTTTAGTTTGGTAAGCATTCAGACTTTCTGATGGCGATATGTGGTATATCCTGACCTCAGTATACATGTGTAAAAATGCATGCAACCCAAATAATTTTATGAAACTAGTTCTTTTCTATGGGCAGGGCATGCTAGACTTTATACTGTATTCTGTTGTTTTATTGTGTGTCTTTTTAATATACTTGTTGCAACCCATCAAATTGATGAGGTTGGGTCCACTGTTGGGTCAGGTCCTGAAAATGGAAAACACTAACCTGTTCTACCCTATGTGACATAACAGGTACCTGGTCAGTTGCCTGTCTCTATTTGAATGTCTCTGATAGTCATGTAGCCCCTTTCCTTTTTCACCCTTTAAGTCATTTCTCATGTGGAGCTCCAGTTGCTTCACTGGAGTTTTTTTCCAGGCAGTGAGGTACAGGAGAGTGCATGGAGTTAGCTGAGAGTCACATCCCAGCTCTGCACCTTCCTTGCCATGTCATCATGGGCAAGTGGCGTTATCCGAGTTTGTTTCCCCGTCTGAAGAACAAGACTACCCGCTATTCCTTGGGGTTGTTCAGTCGGTCAGTTGGCTACTGCACATGCACCTTTATGTCCTGGATGCTGTGCCATGTGCTAGTTACAGCGAGTAAGCCAGACATCGTCCTGGCTCTCGTGGTACTTTACAGATTTCCAGGAGAAGCAGGTGTTAATCAACTCAGGTGTACGTGTAAAATTTGAAACTGCAGTTGAAGTTCTAAGAAGGAAATGTGTATAGTCTCTGAGTATGTGGCAGAGAACGGCTTAATCTGGTAGGTCAGGGACGGCTTTCTGAGCAAGTGATGTTTGGGCTAACATGTGATGTGTGAGTAGGAGTTAGAGACAAGGAGGACACTCCAGGGGAAGAGGTGAATGAGCCCCAAAATGGGCAGGAAGGAGATGGAGAATTTGAGGAGATTGAAAAAAACCCCTCGAATATAAAAGCCCGGAGGCCCTTGGTTTGGAATATGGGTAGGGGCCATCTTTGCAGGAAGGCATTGGTAGCAGCTTGACGAGTTTAGACTGTCATCAGTGAGAAGCCATTAAAGGCTTTGAGGCAGATCATGTTTTCAATTAGATTGCTGTGGTTTCAGGTTTGGATGAGGGTGGGGGTGACTTGAAGGGAGGGTTTACAAAGAGGCTTTGTGCAGTGCACAGCAGTTAAGAACATGAGTTTTTGCCTGGCTGGTGTTGCGCAGTGGTTGAGCGTCGACCCATGCACCAAGAGGTCACTGGTTCAATTCCTGGTCAGGGCACATGCTCACATTGTGGGCTTGATCCCCATTAGGGGTGTGCAGGAGGCAGCCGATCCATATTTCTCTGTCATTGATGTTTCTATCTTTAACTCTTTCTTTCTCTAAAATCAATTTTAAAATAATATATTAAAAGTAATCTAAAAAAAACACACGTGTTTTGGAGCCTAATTACAGGTGTTTCCCAGCTAGCACTTTGTGGAAGTTGTCCAGTCTCTGTAAAGCATTTTGTCACTTTAAGAGAGTGCTAGCCAAATGTCCTCACACTACTTGGCTCCATAGACACCATCAGAGATGGTGTCCTTCCCATTGCTTTTCGAGGCTTCTCTTTTGCCGTCCTTCACCCATGCTCAGGCTTACCCTCTGTTCCTCTGCCCCACCTCCAGGAGGTGGCCTCGGTGGTACCAGAAGAGGTGGGGCTGATGTGAATATCCGGCATTCTGGCCGGGATGATACCTCCCGCTATGATGAGAGGTAAGATTGGGCAGCTGGTTTTCTGGGAAGGGGGGTGGTGACATGGGGGAGCCCTGCCACACACCTCTGCCCACCTCATCCAGGCCGGGCCCCTCCCCGCTTCCACACAGGGACCGGGACCGGGACCGCGAGCGGGAGCGTAGGGAGAGAAGCCGCGAGCGAGACAAGGAACGAGAACGGCGACGCTCCCGCTCTCGGGACCGGCGGCGGCGCTCCCGGAGTCGCGACAAGGATGAGAGGCGGCGTTCCAGAGAGCGTAGCAAGGACAAGGACCGGGAACGGAAGCGGCGAAGCAGCCGAAGCCGTGAGCGGGCTCGACGGGAGCGGGAGCGCAAGGAGGAGCTGCGTGGTGGCGGAGGTGGTGGCGACATGGCAGAGCCCTCTGAGGCTGGTGATGCACCTCCTGACGATGGGCCTCCTGGGGAGCTGGGTCCAGATGGCCCTGATGGTCCAGAGGAGAAGGGCCGGGATCGTGACCGGGAACGACGTCGGAGCCACCGGAGCGAGCGGGATCGACGCCGGGACCGAGACCGAGACCGGGATCGCGAGCACAAGCGGGGGGAGCGGGGTAGTGAACGGGGCAGGGATGAGGCCCGAGGTGGGGGTGGGGGTGGCCAGGACAACGGGCTGGAGGGTCTGGGCAATGATGGCCGAGACATGTACATGGAGTCTGAGGGAGGCGACGGGTATCTTGCTCCAGAGAACGGGTATTTGATGGAGGCTGCACCAGAGTGAAGAGGCCTCACCTGTTTGGACGTGTTCCTACCCACCCGTTGCTGTCATCCTCTCCCCAACCTTGGTCACCGCCTAAGTTTGCCATCCATGGGTAGGAGTCTCCTTTGTTCTGGTTCCTTGAATTTAAAAATAAAATTAATTTCCTGTTAATGGGCACCTTGGTTTCTTCACTGCTCTTAATGTCTTCCCCAGAAGGTTGTCACCTGACTTGATAACCCTACTTTGGTTTGTGTTCCAGGGCATGCTGAGAACTTGAGCTTTATGACCTAAGGCTGGGGATACCCCAATATATTCCCAGAGTTGTTTAAACGGGTGAGGAAGTCCTCTGTAAAGGTCCTTGATCATTTGTGTGCCCCCCTTTTTTAACCTCTTCCACACATTACCCTAGCTTGTGGGCTGTTCATACCCCTAGCTTGTGGGGGCCATGGCCTCTAGGCATTTGATTACTCAGAGGAAGCTACAGCTTTCAGTGTGTGAAAGGGAAGCTGTTGTCTGAAGTGGAGAGCGGGAAAAGTGAAGAAATGAAACGTGAGAGCAGGATACAAGGATGAGAAGATTGGGTGGAGCAGGAAGTCCACACACCAGGATGGAAAACGGCCTACAATTCACGATGGCAAGTTCACCGTTTGTCTTACTTCCTACTGATGACAGAGTAATAAGCAAGAAACAGAAGAGGTTTCACTGACAGTTGAGATTTCAACACATTACCAGATAAAAGAAGATGATGGTGAGAACACTTGTCTGATGACCCCTTAAGAAAGAAGCCACTCTTGCTGGACCCTAGAGAGGCTACAACTGCAGGTATAAGAAGGATAAGAGACAAGGTGGAATTTGAATACAACTGTGGTCCTTTGTTTCAGCACTCAAGACGTGTGGGAGCTGGACACTTGTTGCCTAGGATATATCATATTCTTTAATCCTTATTCGAGGATATTTTTTCCATTGTTTTTCAGAGTGGAAGGGGGGAGAGGGAGGAACATTGATGTGAGAAAAAGAGACATCGATTGGTTGCCTCCCGCATACATCCCAACCGGGGCTGGGGATGGAGCCTGCAACTGAGATACGTGCCCTTGACGAGTTGAACCTGAGACCCTTCAGTCCAAGGGCCGACGCTTGAATTACTGAAAACCAAGAGGAAAAATAGACAATAGAACAGACCCAGGCATGATTTCAGTATTGGAGTTATCAGATTGAAATAGCTATATGTTCACAAAATAAGAGATGGAGAATTGTGACAGTCCTGCCATATTCCTGTTAATGCTAGAAGTGGTAGGGGAAGAAAAGGAGAATGAAAGAAAGAAAGCTCATAGGCTTTTTAGGAACTTAACAGAATATACTTCAAAATGAGGGATTTAAAACAAAACCCACTTCAGCAATGCAGTGGAGCAAGTCCCAGGATGGCAGTTTTCTAGAGAGCACTTGGCCCAGGTTGGGTTCAGAGGACTGAAATTTCTGAGGAGTTTCAGGCTAAAAGGAAGACTCAGTAAGATACTGCGATGGAGAGTCAGAAATTGCGAATATGATGAAACAAAAGTAGGTAGAAATCCCAGGGGAAACCCACAAGCTGTTTGAGAAAGGATGTAATCACAGAACGCTACTTGGGCTCTGCAGTAAACAGTAAGTACTTGGACATAATGCAAGCATTTTATTGATGATCTCAAAACTGGCACCATGAAACTACCATGGAAAGACGGGGCAAGGCTGTAAGGGCAGAAAACCAGTATGTATATATTACTAACAACTGAAATCGGTAAATTGAGAGAGAAGTTATTTAGACACAGAAGCAACTAGCAGTTTAAACACCTATTGTTGCCTTTTGCGGTGGAGAGAGAACTGGCTGATGCTTTTCAATATTAGCCCTTCTGTATTTTTTATTTAAGTTCATTTTTTATTGTTGACAGTATTACAGATGTCTCCTATTTTCCCACTTCCCTCCTCCACCCAGTCCCGCCCCACCCCAGGCCTTCCCACAGTACTATTGTGTGTATTCATGGGCTATGCATATATGCTTATAGGTTAAAATAGAAAAAAAATACTATGAAGGACAGGGACAGACACACTTGCAGCTTCCTCTGGCTTGGCAAAAGCCCTTTTCTGGACTCCATACTCCCATCCAACCAGTGGTGAGGTACAGCCACACTTCAGTCTTGCTTACATTTCCTACGATCCTTTGGCCCCTCTAGAGCATCTGATACAGCTGTCTTTCTTTTTAGAAACACTTTTCTCATAGTTTCGTACCCGCTTTTCCTCCTTTTCTGGCCATTATTTGCCCTCTTCATTCGATGCCTTGTCTGCAGCATTCCTGTCCACTCCTATGGTTTTATTTACCACCTTTGTCCAAATTCTCAAAAATGCTTGCAGGTATTGGGTACTGCAGGAGGACCCTCAAATTCAAAATGGCCAATATCCCTCCTCCAGCGTAGACTGAGCAAAAGGTCCCGCAAGCACCTTTATACCCCCTTCTCCAGATCTGCCCACCTATCTTCCATGCCTCTGCTCTGGTCCCAGCTGTCAAAAGATACTCAGCCTCCTGACTGGTCCGCTAGCTCCACTCTTGCTACCATCCAATCAAGTCGCCACATGGTGGCCACAGTGATCTTCAAATACATACTTGAATTTCACATTTTACTCTTCGGAGTTACTATAAATTCAAAATCCTCAACATGCATGTTCCAACACACAAGTCCATGCATAAACTATCCTGCCCACATTTTCACCATCATAAACTGCAATCTTTACTCTGCTGTCCAGCTTTGTGGGCTCTAACTGTAAAGTGACCCATGTCCCGCCTCTTGATCTTGCTTCCAAGGACTTTTTTTTTTTTTTTTAATATATATTGACTTCAGAGAGAGGAAGGGAGAGAGAGAGAGAAGCATCAATGATGAGAAAGCCCTCATTGATAGGCTGCCTCCTGCACACCCCCGACTGGGGATGGAGCCCACAACCCAGGCATGTGCCCTGACCGGGAATCGAACCCCGATGGCCTAGATCCTAGGTTNCCGACTGGGGATGGAGCCCACAACCCAGGCATGTGCCCTGACCGGGAATCGAACCCGATGGCCTAGATCCTAGGTTGATACTTGACCGCTGAGCCACGCCCGGCTGGGCTCGATCATCTTGGGCCCAGACCTTTAACATACGTTTGTGCAGTGAACGGGGAAAAAGGATAGAGAAGGGACAGACTGAGATGTAAGGAGGTGTGAACAGAAGCTGCAGTAAGAGGGGTCGCAAACAGGACAGATCCCTGGGGTTGAGGGCAGGACGGGGAGACAGGTGCCCCGACCCCCGCGCTGGGGGAGAAGCGCAAGCGGTACCCCGCCTCCGCAGGGGGCGCCCGTCGCCTGGGGCGTGGCCTCCTGAAGCCCCTCCCTCCTCGCTGGCGACCGGCGGGCGGCTCGCAGCGGCGGCGCCGACATGGCT